CTCTATGGAGGGTGGAAGAGCAAGCGAGGCTTGGGGCACTCTTTTGTCCTAGGAGCAAGAAATTGCTCCTAAAGGCGGATGAACTAAAGATAGTCAATGGCAGGGGAATGCAGAAGGCAAGGCAAAAGTAAATACAATGGCCCCTCGTCCGTGGCAGACCTTGAATGATCAAGGGGTGCTAAGAATTCCCACGAGGAAATTAAACGTTATTAAAACAGACTGTACAGCACCGCTTGATATAGGTACCTGGAACGTTAAGAGTATGTGCACACCGCGGAAGATCCACAATATAAAACAAGAGATGGACAGACTAAACGTGGACATCATGGGTGTCAGAGGAACAAGATGGCCCAGCAGCGGAAAAACAAAGGTCGGCGACTCAATAGTATTACACGCCGGCAACGATGATGCTAACCACCCCAATGGGGTGGGTACTATTCTGAACTCAAAAACGAGCTCGTCCTTGCTCAAGTTCATGCCCCTCTCTGATAGAGCAATGATGATACAATTGAATGCAAAACCTAAAAATCTAAACATTATTCAAGTATATGCCCCAACCGCCGATAAGACCGAAAGAGAAATTCAAACATTTTATTCGGAAATAAAACAACTTCTATCACACACCAAGCATGATGAGGTCACCCTTATTTTGGGAGATTTTAATGCCAAAGTAGGCCAAGGAAAAAGCCAGGATGTTGTAGGACAACACGGACTGGGAGAAAGAAACGAAAGAGGAGATAGATTAGTGCAATTCTACCAGGAAGAGAAATTATTTGTCTCCAATACATGGTTCAAATTACCAACAAGACGTATGTATACCTGGAGGTCGCCACAGGACACACCCGATCGCCCTGTTCGAAATCAAATTGACTTTATATTAGCTTCCAAGAGATTCAGAAACAGTGTTCTTTGTGTTAAAACTTATCTAGGGGCAGATGTTGGCTCAGATCATAACCCAGTTACCGCCAAGATCAGATTAAGGCTCAAGAAGCTCAAAAAGAAGTCCTCCAGAAAGCCAGACTTGGACCCGCTAAGAGATGAACAACAACGACAGGCAGTATCAGATCAGCTAAATAAAAGACTAAGTGAAATCTGACAACCACAAAATATACAAAATAGAGAGAGTGTAAATGTGCATAAAGTAGAGGACATCTGGGAGCAGCTCAAGGTCTCTCTGCTGGAAACCCAAGAACGATTAGCGACAACAAACAACAAGCGACCGCATAAAACATGGATGACCGAAGAAATATTACTCTTAATGGATAAGCGCAGAGGATTCAAACAAACTAATTTGCAGAAATATAAAGAAACACAGTGTATTATTAGGCGCAAAATTAGGGCAGCTAAGGAGTCCTGGATGAAGGTGAAGTGTCAGGAGATGGAGGAACTTATTACAAAACACGACGCATTCAACATTCACAAAAAAAAAGAAATTACCGGAGCAGGAAACAACAGCCCCACATAAAAATCTTACATGAAGAAGACAAGCTGGCAACCAACCACGAAAAAAGAAGAAGTCTGGGTAAAATATTTATCAGACAATTAGATCCAACTAGAACAAGGACCAGAAATAATCGAGGCCGAAGTTGCAAAAGCCTTAGATGGTCTTAAAACACGGAAAGCGACTGGCTTAGATAATATTATCCAGAATTAATTAAGCTTATCAACAAAGAAAACTTAAAAATTGTAGTCTAGTTCGTTAACAGCATTGACAAAACGGGGGTTGTGACACAAGACTGGATGAAGTCGCCCTTCATTCCCATCCCAAAGAAACCTGGAGCAAAAAAGTGCGACGACTTCCGCATGATCAGTCTGATGAGCCAGATGTTAAAATTATTCCTAAAAGTCCTGCACAATCGTATAAAAAGAAAATGTGATCAAGATATAAGTGAGGAGCAGATGGGTTTTCGGGACGGGCTTGGAACCCGTGAGGCATTGTTTGCGCTGCCGATCTTACTGCAAAAATGTAGGGACCAACGGAAGGATGTATATTTGTGCTTTATAGATTACACAAAAGTCTTCGACCGTGTCAAGCACAGAGACTTGCTAGAAATACTTGAAAGTAAAGGCATTTACTCACAGGATATGATGATCATACAGAACTTGTACGAACAATAAGTAGCCTCAATAAAACTCGACAGCCACGAAACGAAAACAGTGCCTATTAAACGTGGAGTAAGACAGGGATGCATGCTTAGCCCAATGTTGTTTAATATGTACTCCCAAGCAATATTTCAGCAAACATTGAGAGAAGTAGAAGACGGCATTAGAGTTAACGGAAGACTAATAAATAACTTAAGGTATGCGGACGACACCGTTATAATTGCTGACAGTCCCGAAGGTCTTCAAAATCTAATAAATAAAATAACAACGGTAAGTGACCGCATGGGGCTACAAATAAATACAAAAAAGACAAAAACGATGGTAATAAGCCGAACTCCGAACCAGCCACTGGACGTAAGAATACGCGGGACAGTTATATCAAAAGCGCAGAAATTTAGATAGAATAGAAATGGCCAGAGCAACATTTTTGAAAATGCGAAACTTGCTAAGTGACAAAAGCCTTAACACCCAAATCCGGTATAATTTCGTTAAATGCTATGTGTTTTCTGTGCTATTGTATGGGGTCGAGTCGTGGACGTTAAAGACTAGTACGCTAAACAAATTAGAGGCGTTAGAAATGTGGGTTTATCGACGTATGCTGAGAATACCCTGGACTGACCATGTAAATAACAAAGAGGTATTACTAAGAAAGAACAAAGAACGGGACCTCATAAACATCATCAAGAAAAGGAAAACGGCCTACCTCGGACACATCATAGAGGCAATAAGTATGCATTTCTAAAACTTATAATAGAAGGCAAAATTAAGAGTAGACGAGGGCCGGACGGAGACAAGGCTCATGGTTAAAGAACGTGAGGGATTGGACAGGGCCAGACTCCCATACATTGCTGAGGAGTGCGCAAGATCGAAACGAATTTGCTAGAATAGTTGCCGATCTTCACTGAATGGAGTTGATACCTTAAGAAGAAGATACTGCGTAACAAATATTTAATTAAAAATCAATTACACTACATATACCAAAGAAGTCCCTGCAAGGAATTGACGACGTTCTATGTCCGCAAGGAAATGCTATAGAACTTGGAATGGAGAATTCTTGGAAAGTTCAGTTACTGCAATCATCAAAACCTACTGCCTGCGAACAGATCTACGTCACTGTTAGCAGACCAACATATGGCTATTGATTTTGCCTAAAAGCAAGCTCGCAACGTTAAACTGTGAAGGCCAAGAAGAGCATCAGAAGTTAAAAGGGAGTTACTTACTAACCTTGCCAACCGGGTGTCAAATGAAAATCGAGGAGACAACTACTGTGATCTACAAGAAAGAAATTACCAAAACCCAACCAATTATTTTCCTTGATTTTGATTATACGTCTTCGAAACTTCCTGTCCTTAACTTAAGTTTTCATCTACAAGAAATCAATTTAAACGCGTTGCATCAGATCGAGAATAAGATAATGGAAAATGTGATAGTATGTGGACTATTTTCGGATATGTTGTTTTATTTATGGCCTCTGTTTATGTAGCCTACAAATATTTCGTCATCAGATTATGTTTTCGAATGAAGAAAATGGAGGAAGAAACTCCGACAATTGAACTACCTCTCCCTGGGTGTAGTTAACTCTAAGGAGAGAGGAGTTATGTTATCATATACCCAGTGAACCTGCTGAGTGTGCAAGACTCGCAACATATGACGATGGGAAAGATAAGCGGCAGTCAGTCAGTTGAAAATATTTATCTTGACCCGAGAACGACGTGATTTTGTTAAAGTTTAGAAGGGCTTGAAGAGTGGATGTGTTATACTATACTATTTTTTGTATATCAAACTTATTTCTGTATACTCCATTTTACAATGACAAGTTCAAAATAAAAAAGCAGTCTTTAGATTAGTTTAGTTTAAAGTTTGGTGGCAAACACAAAGTTATCCCAGGTAAGTACCATTATTATTAAATATATTAATTAAAATTAAATGCAAGTGGCAAAGTCATAGTTGAAGTTATTATTTTTTAATTAATAATAATTAATTTTTGAACCGGCTCTCTCTTTAATTTTTAAAATTGTATCAAGGCGACTGTTATTTCCATAAATGTTTCTTATTTAGGCCGTCCCTTTCCTTATCTAACAACAAATCACTTCCAAAATAATTAACTAACAAATTTGTGAATGAGAACGAGACGGATGGAAGTATAGAGACAGATGAGAATCGGGTAACCAAAATATGTATTAAATGAAAGAGAAAACAACATTTGATTAATTTCAAAAATTTGTATTCCACGAAATTACATTTACCTCTGTTTCAAACAAAAACACTAAAGCTTCTAGTGAAAGAGATTTATATCCATTTTCCTTTGAAAACGTCGACATTTTTCACGTCATTTGAAGAGAAAACATTCCGACGAAGATGTAGTTAAGAAAATTTTACCACCGAGAATAAGAGAATAGAAATGACCTACAGTGCTACAGAAAAAAGTTAAGATTAGTTTTGGTTAGTTAGTTTCTCTTCATCTATCTCAAATGTCTTCTAATTGCCATATTACTGAACAGAAATATCATTAAAAACCAATTAAAATAGGTTTTTTGGATGTCCTGTATCTATATATTTCACGCACCATTGCGGATCCATGTTCATATGAAACTTTTTTCTTAAAATTAGTCAAAGATTCCTCATGTAAAGTTTGTAAAGTACTTAATTAACGTCCTGTGTAAAGTTTTTAAAATAAATAATTGTATTTGTTCAAATTCAGAATAAAAAAAAGAGCAAATAATATTCAAATTTTGCCATTTAAAATCACATGGATTATTGGCTTTTCTATTTATTTTCTTAGTGATTTCTAACGGCTATACCTTATTTATTAAATTCTTATTATAATTTCGACAGTTTGTTGCCAAATTAACCAAAGAATCATATTTTAAAATCATTTTCCCTGGTAATCGCTTTACCTTTCTGGGTTGCTTTAAATTCGTCTTCGTAAATGTGATAAGCATGGGCATGGGCCTTAAGTAAGTTGTAACCGCATTGATAAATACCATCCCCGATAAGTGCTAGGGCTGGAGGGAAAACATCCATTCCATATCTAAAAATTCACAAACGTAATGGAGACGAAATATAAATGGGTTTGTCTGTACCCCAATTCGCAAACGATGGTGGGTTCGTTTACGGTTATCCAGTATTTGACATATTCTCCGAATGTTTGGAATAGTAGTCTCGCGTAATCGCCGAAATAGTCGACTATGGCCGAACTGAGGAAGCCGCCGAGCTTACTGATATGCAGCGGTGCATCCCAATGATAAATGGTCACTACAGGCTCGATGTTATTCTCTTTGAGAGCCTAGAAAATTGTTGGTGAACTCTAAGATTCCGAATTAATATGTTCAATGGACTAAAAAAAGTATTTTCACGCGTATAATATACCTATACCTATGTGCCACAAAATTAATGTCATAGGCAATAATTTTTTCATTTTAAAAACTAAGAACCTAATAAAAAAATGTAAAAAAATAACCCACGAAAAACATTTCTTAAAAACCACTGATAAAATTTCTTACTTAAACCACAAAATCATTTACCTAGTTAACACGAAAATAAGGGGATAAACATGAATCACGGTGTCGGCTATGGGGGTAAACTATTTGAGAAAGAATTTTGTAACGAAATCAAGGAAAGTGATCTAATATATCTCAAATTCTTTCTTTTTATCAAGTATAGGTAGTACCACCAGGGTGTGAGTGAATTTATGGGTCATGGCTATTGTTAACCATTCAAAAACATTGAAAAAGGCATTTTAAAATGTTTTATAGACCTACGACACCATGCATGCATAAAGAGTGACTTTTCATTGGTCATTAAGTCTGAATAAAACAGATATATTTTGAATTTGAAATGTATGGCCTTGTGTTGCTTACGAACAAAGGATTTTTATCCCCCGTTAATATTTTGTTATCTACCTTGTTTATTTTCAAAACATTGAAAGCACAAATGTTGTATAATCACATTATTGACATTTTGAATGTATGTATATGTATTGCTAAAACGACGATTTTTGCTATTTAATAATCCTGAAATAATTCAAAAAGTTAGCGACATTATTTTGTACTTATTTCTTTTAATGATATTGTAGGTTAGGAAAAAGATAAACTTTTATTTGCCTATCTTTTCTTATCGATGTCGTTTGTGGAACCTGCTTCAGTCAAAACGTTTTTTATTGCAGTGACTTTCTTAATTGGAAGCATAAGTAGTAAACCCCTACAATTTCTATTTATATTCTCTCTTTTCCCTCCATAAAGATGGTTAAATTTGAAAAATGTTTCAAAATTTAAAAGTTAATAATGTGCTGTTGAGAAAACTAAAAAATTCCCATCAGTTCCCCCAAAAAAACAGAAATTTACCGATTTCGCTTATATTCTTTCCGGTGTTATTTAAATGGAAATAAAAAAAATACCACTTTCGCCTTGAGACTTTTCGAGCTGTACAACACAGGGATGAGAAATTTTAAGCACGAAGTTTAGTTTCGGCGAAATCATCATCAATTTCTTTTTTTATATTATAAATAGTAGACATCGTAGACGAGGTGCATAGATCACGTCACATGTTAATTCATTAAACAAATGAATTACAATTAACTGACTACAAAAGATTAGATTATATATATGTTCAAACAAGTGACCATTCTACTATTTACAGATCCTCCTGCATCGGTTGTTTATAAGTAAAACTGAAACTAAGTTTCAGTTAAGCTCTGAAGAAGACAACAGGATGATTTGCGAAACGTCACCAAGTTTCACTTATAAACAACCGACGTATGAGGAATCGACAAGATTTGAAAATAATATTTCCATACCTTGGGGAAATTTCTATGAAAAATTAAGTGTTCATTATTTTCCAAATACAGATAACACCTTGTAACTGTGGAATGTAAAACGTTTCTTAACATATTAGTTGTAATATTTTGAAATGCTTCAAGAACTAGTTTTCTCGATTAACCTTCCGTCCTGTTGAAAACAACTTTTGCAAGATGTAAATTGTTCAAAGCTGTCCAATGTCGTGCTCCAGGAGGTTGCCGCAACGCTGATAGTTAAGAGAGAAGTTATAAAAAAGGGCTTATTAAAAGTGTTGCAAAAGTCCCAACCCACATACTAAACAAGGCATACAAACAAGGCATTTAGCAATATGTCAATAAATTATTTACACTACATTAAAACATTGGAAATTTCATATGATTTAAGCAATGTAGAATTATATTGTGTCGTATATCGTTTTATTCGTAATAACAAATGCTATTCAATACACTGCGAACTTTTTTCACACACCATATGAATAAATAAAGTTGATGATGATTTCGCCGAATCGAAACGTCGTACTTAAATAACACTTACATAACTTAACTACTTGAATAACACCGGCCAAAAATAAAAAGGAAATTTTTTTTTTAAGTCGAAAACGATAAATACCACACGGGTTTGAATTTTGACATTTGTCAATTCTGACGGTCAAGTCAGTGAATGTATTCGTGTTACTTTGCCCAAAAACTAAAGATCGTAGAAAAAGTATGGTATGCAACATGTTTAGTAAACTTCGGTGCCCTAATACCTAATATTTATTGACTCTATAAAAATCAAACACGGATTCCATTACTGGTTTCATTTCTTACAAAAATATAACACTCTTGAAATTAAAGTGCTGATTAGTTATCGCCCAGCGATGTAAAAACAACATCGATTGTCGCCATATTGCAACAAAACACTTCAAAAATAAATCGTAACGATAACAGTTTTAAATATTACCTTTAATACATTTAAATAGTAATCGATCCCCTTTTGATTTATATTACCAAGGGTACCATCGGGCAGTATTCTCGTCCACGCAATAGAAAGTCTGAAAATATAAACTAAAATTATGTAAGGGGCGACGTTGACTTGAGTTTTAATCACCTATAAAACTGCAGACCAAGGTTTTTAGCATTTTCCACATCTTCCCGCCATTTGTGGTAGGAGTCGCATGCTACATCGCCAGTTTCGTTAGCCCCTGAAAAATTTAATTTTTCAAAATGTACATGTTGTCTACATGTACGTTTGTATTTCTATGTATAGTACTTCTATACCCTGCGAGTGGAAGAAGTCATCCCAGATGCTGACTCCTTTTCCATCCTCGTCCCATCCCCCTTCCACCTGGTAAGCGGCTGTCGCTGCACCAAACATAAAATCATCCGGGAAAAGTCTTTGGTTCAATTGCGCCAATGACCTAAAATAGAAAAGGATTTACCATTTGTAAACAATATTTTTGATGCCCGACTAGATCTGTACAATTAATTGTATTTTTGAAATTTGAATTCACTTACTAAATTACTTTATTAATCAAAATAAAAATTTCATGATTCCATTATGACTCACCCATTAAAGAGGCAAACGAGGATTATGTACCCCAGTGCCATGCTTGATTTTAACATTCCACTGAGTGACTGAGTTAATGATTGTTTTGATATATCTTAAAAGTCGTTCTAAAAAAATCTTATTTACGGGTTTATTTATTTGTTTATTGATACCTAATCCCACACATTCGAAGTGTTTCTGTAAGTGGATTGTTTATTCTCATAATACTTTATACAGCGTGTCTCAGCGTAGCAATTATTATTCGTAATTCAAAACCTGTTCTTGACAACCCATTTTGTTACAGGTTAAAACTAGATACTCATTGTGTTAAAAAGTCACTAAGAATACCAATTAACGATTGTTACAACCCCTGTATACTATATACAGGGGTCACACTACTTCTTTCATAACTCTATAAGTGTATACTTTATCTAAAAATCTTGAACGCAAAAGTTGTTTGTATGAATGTGCTGCATGCTATTACACAGGGCGTCTCATATGTTTCTAACAGCACCCAACTTTTTTGGATCCCCGAGAAAATTTCATTGTAGGTTCTTTCAAATTTTTTTAACATGAATTTTTTTTTCGAAGAAACTTGATTAAGAGTAATTCTTCAGAGCTGAAACTGTTCAGTTAAGCCCTGAAAAAGCCAATAGGATGATTGGCGAAACGTCAACAAGTTTGATTCATGAATAAATGACGTAGGAGAAAGTTTTGTAAATAGAATTAACCGTTTTCATTTCGTGGTAACCGTAAACAGAAACGTGAGAATTGAGCTTCCGGTATTGAAACTAACCAAAACTAACCAAAACTATCCAAAACTTACAAAAAAAATTACAGAATTTTAATTTTTAACCACATGGTAATTTTTTTTTCTTAGATCAAAGCAAATTGCTTTGTAGTAAAACAATTTGTGCTTTCCTATTCACCAAGAGAATATTTTCTTGATTTATCACAAAAAATCTCTTAACTCTCTGTTTTATTGCAAACCAGAAATTGTTTTATTATAAAATGAAAGTGTATCAATCTAAGACACCTTTTTCTCTAGAAGGAAAATATTTGCTCATTCAAAACAAAACCTTTTGATTCTTCTTCCAAGACAAAATAATTTTCTTGACCAAATATAAAATAATGAAAATTTCTAAAGTTTTCTTTCAAGACCATATACTATTTTAGAGCAAATGGAAGTGTTTTTCGATATAAAACAAACCTATATCTGCATTATTTTGTTTCAAGACAAATCTATTCTTGAAATGAAAAATTATACTCCCTTAAATCAAAATAAACGGAAATTTATATTATTTTTTTCTAAGATACTTTTTTTCTTAAACATGTGTACAGGGTGTCCCAAAAGTCAACGATAATACTGAAAAGGCTGACGGAAAAAGTCGTAAGCATCAAGAAAAACATAAAATGGCCTTAGTAAAAAATCGATGGTTTTCGACATTGCCACTTTAATTGAATTCATTAAAATTGTAGACTTGTATCATATTTTCGAGAGTCACATCTAAAAAAAAAAATAACTCTTTACATTCTTAATTATTTCAGTTTAAAACCGCGGATATTTCATTGATCAAAGATCAACGTTAAAGTAAAAGTTCAAGAGAATAATTCAAATAATCATACTTCACTTTAAAATAGATTTCTTATTAAAGGTTTTGAAACTTTTACTTTAACGTTGGTCTTTGATCATTAAAATATCCGCGGTTGTAAAACTGAAAAGAAGTGAAAAATGAAAAGAAATATTTTTTTTTAGATGTGACACTCGAAAATCTGATCTATGTTTACGATTTTAATAAATTTTATTAAAGCAGCAATATCGCGAAAACCATTGATTTTTTACTAAGGTCATTTTATGTTTTTCTTGATGCTTATGACTTTTTCCAACAGCCCTTCGAGTATTATCGTTGACTTTGGGGATGCCCTGTATGTATAAAAGTATTACAAATTGAATTTGTTTTCTAGAAGTGATTGTATTGTTTACATAGGAGTATAGGTGTTTTGATGTGAAGAACAAAAATGGAAATATTTAAAATATTTATTTTTCTTTTTTCGGATTCAACAGTAACAGCAACATACTTAAAAGTACCACAAACGAGAACATCTTTAAGAAACATAGTCTTATATTCTAAAAGTATAATAACAACCATAACACAGTTAACAGAGCTACGAATGCAACGAACATAGTAATATGTTCTAAAAATAACAAAAAATACTTATTTATACTTATTATATCCTGTCGGAAACATAAAGCAGTAACAAAATACGAGTACACTTAAATCTTAATTAAAAAAACTGTCTTATATAAAATGAGATTAAGAGAAGTTGGATAAGTAGGGTAAATGTGACTTTGATGTTACATTATTTAATCCAATTTTCTACTTTTTTATGAGCAAAAGCCTACGCTTACCAGGATACGTATACGTATACGTACGTAAGGTGTACCTATATGTATAGGTATGTATGTATACGCACGTTCGAAATTTTTTATCACTTCAAGAGGCATATCCCAATCTGTCAATAGGTCACGTATGTTTTCCATATGAGCTAGGTATTTCTATACACATTCAAATCAAAAATCAACATCAAAACAAAACACAATTTTCCTAACACACACACACACACACACACACACATCACATAAATAACTAAATGAAATGCGTGTCTGCGTGTTAACAGGTAAAAGACAAATATTACGAAAATGTATCGATTCAAGAAAATAGGGGTTTAATTTTTTTTAATTCAAGACAAATGCGCCACGTTGTTTTGTACGAACGTGCGACATATTTATTATTTTCATCAGAGATAATTTATACCGGGTTGTTCCGAGTAAAAATCCAATTTTCAAGATTAGATTTTTCTTAAAGGGAGACAGAGCGTCGTAGCTTCCATAGAAACAAATTTTTGTTTTATGCTAAATAAAATAAATTAAGAACTCTCAATGACTTGTATGAAGCCAATTCGTTTTATTAAAAAATGAATTGTTTCGAAATAAAACAATTAAAGAAGAAAAATAAAGTTTCATTGCAAGGTGAAACAATGCGTTAAACTAAAAAAGAAATATTTCACTTCAAGATAAATTGTTTTAAGGTAAAACAAAATGTTCAAGAAAAGAAAGAGTTTTCTTTGTAGACAAAAATTTTTACCGTGCATGCTTTTTCTATATCTATATAAAATTAACTTTTGTATTACACGATACAGTCACATAAAGAGCGTCGCATTTGAAAAAGATAAGTTTTGCATCTTAAAAAATGATGTCATTGATTCATAAGTTCCGCCGCCGCAATAATGAGCTCCTATGATATACTGTGATGTTCTGGTAACAATTTATCGTGTTTAATATTAATAAAAACTTTATTTCTAACAACCAAATCGTCCGAAAAAAAGCAATTTAGGGAGTTACATCCACATTTTAGTAATATAAGAGAAATACACCCTAATCTGAAACCCTCGAGCTCGCAATAAGGGCTGTGATCAGGAGGTGTGATCTAATAAAAGAATAAATATCCGTTTTTTCCATTTTCAGGAGTTCAGAAAAGTTCGCTTAAGCAATATTGAGCTGATGAAACTTATGGTAAAAATCATAAAAGAGTCACAGGACTAGGACAAATAAACTCATCAGCAGTTAATAATATAATAACAATAATAAAGTATATTCATCAAAATAAATATTAATATAACTTACAGAATAAAAATAATACATATATTAATGAACAAGCTGTTCAGCACTGAAGCAATATTTATTACTTATTAGTGCTTGTTCGTAGTTAACATGAGGACATGAGGCAATTTTAAAATCTAAAATACAGTCACAGGTCAGTTTACATTAGTCACAATCGAGATAAAGTCACAATGGAGTTTCTTCAGACTAAAACGATTTTTCAAATAATGCTAGCAAACGCCTTATGAATTTCTAATCTGTCTGTAATTATCAAAAATTCCTTGAACTCTTCTATGAAATTTTTGTCATATCCAGTGTCTCTAAGTTTTTTTGGGTAAGAAGTTGCAAAATTTTGGGGCAAGAAAAAGGCTTGATGAGTTTTTTACTCAATGAGATCTCTACGCATTCATTTGTATGTCGCGAATTTTTGTGTGATAATTTCAAGTCTTTTTAATGATAACTAGCATACTCTTGAAGTTGACGGGTTTGGTTTAATTAGATAAGATGAGCGTAGGGTATAACTGATTTTTATTAAATATTAATTTTGCAAAACGTTTATTTCTTCTATTTAAAAATTCCTTACTCCTTCCCACACCGCAATTCCGTAATTTATTTGCGATTCAAAGAGAGAGTAGTAAACTTGTTTAAGATAATGAACATTTAAGTAATCTTTAAGATGAGAAAGAAAATCTCGTAACTATAAATCTTATTTTATTAGCCAAATTTTTAATAAGTTTTTCTACTCCCTTCTGTATAATACCTAATTATACAACGATGTAGCGTGCGGGAAGCGTCACTTTATTACGTGACTTTCTTGTCCCACGGATCCGACTCCCTTCGGACATTTTCGGGATATGGGATATTGCCCCACTGGTTTGAGAGCATCCGGATGTTTTCGGAGATTTTACAGCACGGCTTGAATTTTGACGTTAGTCAATTCGGACGCTCATGTCAGTGAATGTATTCGTCATGTTATCAAAAATGTACCCAAAAACTAACGGTCGTAGAAAAAGTGTAGTATGCAACACGTTTGGTAAAGTTTTTAAGTCACTCGTTTATTAAACACTCGCTCCGTCAAATAAACTCGTGAGTTAAATGCCGTTTACCGCACTTGTTGCATAATATACTATTTTCTACTCCCTCCGTAAAATACTTAATTAATTGTGCGAAAAGCAGCAGTTTACCACCTGAGTTTCGTTTTCCCCGCATTCGGGTTCGGGAGAAAACGGATATTTTCGGAGATATTACCGCACGGTTTTGACGTTTGTCAATTCTGACGGTCATGTCAGTGAATGTATTCGTGATGTTTTACAAAAATGTTCCCAAAAATTAACGATAGTAGAAACATTTGATAAATTTTATAAGCCACTCGTTAATTAATCACTCGCCCCGCTTGTGCTAAATAAACGCGTAACTCAAATGCTGTTTCCACACTTGTTGC